GTTATTACCTGGACAATGCTGTCAATTTCTGTAGTCTGCAGAAAATCTTCCTGCAGACAGAAAAGTAGGACATTGAGCACCTACCTCAAAAAAATAAACCAATTTCTTTGCCACTAGATATATTTTTCACCCAGACAACGCTTTCATTAAGGAGGAAATAGCCGCCAACAATTCAACGCCAAATAGAAATCAACTTCCCACAAAAAGGAGCCACGAACTTAATGGCTTTCCAGGGAAAGTACGCGCTGAGAAAGTTTGAGCAATTCTGGCTCAGCCCTTCTAATACTGAAGACAGTCCCCCACCCCGAGCTATCACTAGAAGGGCCCAGACCATGATAATTCCCCTGGAAGTGAGGCAGAAGGGTGACCTACCCAAGGGCTCCCCCCACCCCCAGAGAGCTGCTTTCCTGGTCAGTGCAGAGCTGAGCATTTTAGGAAAATGCAACTTCTCTCACAGAGCCCCAGAATATGTCTTGGAACTGATGAATTCTCATGTGCTGCTGGGGCCTAGGCTCCTTCAAAAACGCAGGTTTGGTCCTATGGCAGGAAGGCTGACCTGATGTGGAAGAGTCAGGAAATGCAGGGGGATGGGGAAATTTTAGTACTGCCTCCAGGAATTGGCCTTAATAGAGAACACTGAATAGCCACTGGTAGGTAGTTAATGTGTGTGTGTGTGTTGCAGGTATAAACTCAAATTTATTACAGCTTTTAATTGGCAGCTGGTTTAATTGACAAAGGATGGGAAGTACACATACATAGTCTAAAGGACAGCCACCTCCACAGGATAGACTTTAGTGGTCTCTCCTGCTGCTTGCCCTCAGCTTCCACATTTTTTAACAGCCACCTTCATAACCAGTGAATTCACCCAAAGGGTCTGGTTTTCAACAGAGCAGAGATAGTATTCCATGACCATACTAATCACTCTTTAATCTCTATTAAACAATTGCTGTGGAATTCACATGTTAAGGATACCCTAAACGTGAGGAGAATAGATGATTCAAAATGTTTTTTAAGTACAAGGTTTAGAAAGAAGTTTCTATCCTTGCCCATAATGGTTAAACCACCACCACCACCACCACCACCACCACCACCAGATTATTAAAAATTTTAATTCCTAGCAGAACTGGTTGGCAGCACCTAAACTGGAGCGTGAGCATCTCTTCTCATTAGAATAGTACTGTGATGTGACTGGCCACAGTAACATCATTCAACCCCTTGTCAGATTCCCTGGACTCAATTTCTGAGTAACTTTTTGGTTGACATGCCCAGGGAGCACTCATTAAACTCAATTCTTGGCTCTGAAAGCAGCCATAGGTGAGCCCCCAAACAGGACACCTCTGCTTTCTGCTGGGAGGCACTCTCCCTGTGTGCTCTGGCCTACCCTTCAGCTTGACCCACTAAGAATAACTCGATTTAGGATGCCCAATTCTCAGAGTCAGAAATCGCATTTCTCTAGTTCATCCAGTGTGTGTTTCAATTCAATTAAGATGCTACAGTCCTGTTACCCCATAAAATCATATTGAAAATATCCTGGAATCAGTCCAGAACTGACAGAAGTATAAAAATTGCAGGACTTTTTTATTTTTAACATGTATTTTTATGCCATAGGTGTCTCTCCTGTTGAATTCAGATTTTTAAACCTGCAATACGCAACATTCAATAAACAGAAGACTTCCTTCTCTTTGTTTTTAAAAAATAACTTCCCACTTCCCCGCATTGATGACTGGAATAAAAGAGTGTGGTAATTTTTGAGTATCCTAATATGTTTTAGAAGACAACTTTGCAGATACATTCTAATTAACTTTCCATTGCTGTAATAAAATAAGCTTCTAGTTTGAAATAGGACAGACCCATCTCTCAATAAGCACAAAAAGACTCAAAATCCTCAACTTAAAACAAACACGCAAAGAACCCAGGGCAAAGAAACACATCCTGAGAATGTTCACCCAAACACATAGGTAGACAATTGTGGCTTAAATATGGAGCACTGATCTGCTGGATAGAGAGTTGTTTTTCATGAGAAGTTCGTCCCCAATTTGGGAGTATTTACTGTATTTCTCTATAAGCAGAAGGCTAAATATTTTTATGTAGGGGATACCTAAATAAACCTTGCTCTCTGTACATAATGTGGTGACTGCTCCCTGGGAAACATAACTGGGATTCCAGGAGCTTAAAGGGAAAGGTGTACTGTGGTACCGGCTAGGAGGCAATGCATAGAGTGTCCCTGTCACCAAACTTGTGGTGTGAGCTCACAAAGACAAAAAAAAAATTACTCCTTTAACTCCTCCCTTGCTTATGTCAATGGGGGGAGGGAAGGCAAAATAAAATACTGTAATGATTTGCCACTCCTGCATTCTAGGTGCACAACTTCAATCAGCTCCTGACAACCTGCATGCATCTGTTGCAGTTGTTCGCAAAGGTCTGGATGTTCCAGGGTGAAGCTACCAATAAATGCTAAATTCAGTTACTGCATCTGATATTTAGTTAAATAGATGGAGAAAGAAGCTCTGGCCACTTTTTGGACTGTCTCATTGCCCTAGAGCTTTAATCAGGGGCTCTTCACTTTGTTAGTTGCCTAAAACCAAACTGTCCTGACTGCCCAATTCACCCTTTTAAATTCATTTCCATGATAAAATTCAGCTTCCTGCTCCTCCAAGAAAACAGCTCAGGATTCTGCTGGCAAATAACCCTGGGGTGACAATCCCTGGAAATACTGCTTTGGGTCACAGCCACCAGTCTTTTGTTTTTGTGGTGTGTGTGGATTCTAATCCCCAACACACAAAACAACTTAAGATCAGAAAGAAAAGAATGAACTTGTAAATCGCCTTCTCTATTTTATTGTTCACATTTGGTATTGTTTTTAGTGAAACTGGAAAAATTGTCTCCTTTCTCTGTATTGCCAAAAGGCATTCAGGTAATGAAGTCTGTAACTAAACGGTAATTGAATCAGCATAATTTGCACACTGAACGGTTTTCAAATGCTCCCAGTTTACAATTAAAGGAGAATTAATGCGCTTGTTGTTGAGAACGCAGCGCATTAGAATAAATCCAGCACTGTTGTTGTAATGAGTGGAAAACGGTTTAACTGCCAACAAACACATTTAAAATTTAACACAACGTATTGATTTAACTTCTGCTTTTGATAGATTATTTTCCAGAATATCGAAATACTTGCTCCAAGCAATAAACTGAACCACAGCCGCGAGCCTTTGCCGTGTGTCTGCGTGTGCGTAAGCACAGTCCAAGGACGTAAGAACGGTCCTGAGGTTCAGGTTATGCGTAAAGGTATGCAGAGGAGAGAGGCAAGAGGGTTTCCATGATCGAGGGAATGGTTAATGTTTTCCCTCTGTAGCTTTCACTTTGCGGTCCCTTCCCTTTCTTCCAATAAATAATTTCTGTATTTCCTCTGGCCAAACTTTCTGCCGACAGTCTCTGGGCTGTCAGTGTCAGTGGGTTTACTGGACACAGGTGGGGGCAAAAACGATTGAAGAGGGGAAATGGGAAGGACACTTTTTGCATTCCATCTGCGTTCCAGCCAGAGCAGGCACAGACTCGGTGACAGTCAGAAAAGCTGTTCCTTTGGATTGGCTGCCCGGGCTTTCACCTGTTTACCCCAAGGTGTCCTGTAGGCGAGGACACTGACGCACAGCGCCCTCTGGCGTCTGCGGCTGCCATGGTCAGGCGATAAAAGTGCGAAGACCGGCAGCACAGAGGGTTCTTGGACTGAAGAGGACACCAATTAAATACACACCCTCACATACATATTCATACGACGCATACTTACACACTCATTTACACAGAGTTCACACAACTAGCACCACTGCTACCACATGCACCAGGGCAATGGCTGGGAAATGTTCTCAGTTGCAGGGATGGCAACTCCTTTGCTCCCAGACTTGTGGGGCCTGAAGCTCTTGGGATTACAGAACAGCATGCCCCCATCCCCATTTACCCAGTCCCATCAGAGATCTCGGGCCGCCCCAGCACTCCTAGCCCCTAATTAGAACACGCTGAGCCCCCAGTGCACTCCTGCGGCCCACAGATGGGTAACAGGGGGTCAGTGCCCTGAGCACAACTTCACCAGCAGGGCGCGAGTGCGCCTGGCCCTCCCTGAAACTAGACCCGAGAAACTGCACGCTGCGGCTCGGTTCTGCGCGGTGCCCACAGCTACCGATCCACAGCGACCACAATAAAGTGTGTCTCACCCCTCTCCAAGAGTGTGCAAAGTCCAATCTCCCCCCCACCCCGCCACACAGTTCTGGGAGAACTGGGACGACGGCTTTAGCTAAAATCCCCCCCCCCCACGCCCCCGACAACATCTGCCATTCCCTAATAAGGGTCTCAGCACTGGAACTGGGGTTTGGCTTCGGTTATTTGGTGAAAAGGCGAGTTAGGAAAAGAGGGAGCAGGAGCTGCTACATGTTTGCCAGAGTATCTCTGACCTAACTCTATCTCATCTGCTTGTGATGCTCCTAACTGATTGTTAAACTTGTCCTGTCTCAACCCTACAAGTCAAACAAAGTTACCTGCACTTTTTTTATGTGCACATCTCCAAACTGGGGGATGCGGGGGTTAGTGGGTGGGTTGGCTTTCAAAGGCACAGAGCAGATTCGTGTTCCCCACTCTCCACCTCTTTCCTTTTGTTTAAACTCTGTGGATGAATCAGTGAGAGTTCAAGCCTTCCACCCTTTCTCTCTGCCCTCTCCTTTAATAAAGCAGGTCCTGTCCCACTATATCCTCATTTTCTGGGTGTCGAGGGTGCCCTAAGGCGCTGTTCCGAATCACGCGCAGGAAAGGGGGAACTGGAGCAGGAAATGGGGATGGGATCCCCGGAAAATCCCGCAGGGATCCAGAGACCAGCTTGCCAAAGTTGTTCCAACACAGTCGCTAGGAACACTGCTCTCGCTGGACTGACGGTCTCCCCCTCCTCCCGCGCCCGCCAGTTGCCGGGCCTCGCGGTCAGGGTGGGATTGCGGGGGCGCGGGGCCAGCGCGACTTACCAAGTAGACTGTGGGCTGCAGGAGGAGAACCACGCACCAGCACGCAGCCTGCATCCTCCCGCGTCTCAAACTTCCTCGGCGGTGCCTTCGCTGAGTCTTTGTTCCTTCAAAAACATAGATCCACCTGACATCCACTTTACAGAGCAAGGAGCGCTCTCAGCAGCCTAAATACAAATGAAATTAGACATCCCATGACCACGCGGACAAGGTTAGGTTTGGCGACCAAGCGGGGAAAGGGGGTCGTGGCGGGGAGGGGTGAACCAAAAAGCACGGAGGCGGGGACAGAAAAAATTGAAAAAAGCCAGTAAATCCAGCGCCTGAAACCAGCGAGCGCTAGGTCCGCAGGCAGGAGGTTGGGAAGATGAAGGGCTCTTTGCGCCCTGTGCTCCTTGCGTGCGAGTTCCAGGCGGTGGAGACAGGAGGTGCCAGTGCTCAGAGCCGCGTGCAGGCTGGTTCGGAGCCCAAGCGTCTCTGGCAGCGAGACCTGCCCTAGTGTTTGATGGTGGGGCGGCTCGGACTGAACGCGGTGGCTGGTTCTTTGCCAGCCCTGGCTGTGCTCGCACACGTACACACCAGCAGAGAGAGATGGAGAGAAAAGGAAAGAGGGAGAGCGAGCGACAGAGACAGAGCGAGAGGGGCGCGGGAAGAGGAAAGGGTAGATAGAGCTGACCAAGATTAGGTGCTGGGTATCTCCACACAGTCGGTGGAGTGGGGGTGGGGGGAAGGGAGTGTAAAATTTGCAAACAGGAAAGCCAGGCTCAGTTTACCCCTTTGAGTGCCCTGCACGTACATAGATACATACACACACACAAACACACACACACACCCCTCTGGTACTACTTTTATTCGAGCCAAGGGGCACAGCCGGTGCTAACTTCTAGAGTGGAAGTCTGCCTGGGTCTGTGACAGTCGCCCATCTAGAGCACTCTGTCCCCCAACCAGGGACCCTCCCCTCCGCCCCTTCCCAGTGCCTCACCACTCCGCCCTAAGGTGTTGTGCCCTCCGGGACCGTGGAGGCGAAGAGTACTTACCACACTGGGCTGGGGGCGAATCCGGTGAGCAAGGACCGCTCTGGACAGGCTCCATGGAGGAGCTACTCGGGCCTGGCGTCTCCGGCGCCCCGGACATGCCCTCCCTGGCGCTTCGTCTCCATGCTCGGGCACGGACCAGTCCCGCTACCGCGTCCTGCCTCCCCGGAGTCCGTCTCAGCGGCCAGGTAGCGCTCAGGATCGGTTCCACGGGAACCTAGGCTTGGCACAGTTGGATTTGCGGTGCAGGAAACTTAAGAGGCAAGAAAGGAAGGGGGAAGTATAGAAGGAAACAGAGGAAGGAAGGGAGGAAGAGGGAACGAGAGAGGCGAGTGCGCCGGGATACAGCGCCGGACGGATTGGGATGCCAGCGCTGGCTCTGGGACGAGCAGTCCAAGGCTGTCAGCTTCCCGAGGCTGCCGAAGGATCGTAGAAATGACTGAAGGGGAGGAGTCTGGGCAAGTCCTCGGAACTTGAACTTGAGAGATAAGACACTGGCCTTTCCGAAGAAAAACGCCACACAGCAGTTGCAAGCAGTCCCAATTTCTGAAAGAGGGGTAGGGTTGCAGAACGTGGAGGCTCCTGGCGCAGGAAGCAGCTGTACCTGTACGCACGACACCGGGAAGCTCGGGAGCTACTCCGGAGCAGAGTCGCAGGTGCTGTTTGTGTCCTGCCCAGCCACTGAGGGACGCTCCTGAGTGCGCCGAGGTTCGGAGCCCAGACCCGGTGGAGCTTTGTCCGTAGGTCCGCGGTTCCGTGAGCCTACTCCCCGATACCGGCCATCACATTGGCACGTGGGTAAACAATGCCTCAGAGACTAATTGGTACCTCGTGTAAATAGATCCCGCTCCCAGGCTCTCAGCGGGCCGGGCCGCAGGGAGAACTGACTTCTGTGTTGTCTCTGGTGGCCACAGCGCCCCCTCCCCGGGGGGTCGTGAGTAGGGGGCTGCCACCACGGGGAGCGGAGCAGGGCGGTCTGGAAGGCGGGGGTCGCCGCAGGACAGTGCAAGGCTCCCCTGCCGGCCTCGGCCCCAGCACCGACGCCAGGCGCTGTGGACCTGTGGCTGCCTGGCCCGAGGCGGAGGCTCTGCGGACCGCCAGCCATTCAGCGCGCAACAGCCGAGAGGACTGGGCGACCTTGTGGGCTGACGCCTCTCGCCGGCTGGGCCGAGCAAGAGGAGGAGTGGGGCGGGGGCGGGGGCGACAGGTCGGTGGGGGGACACGCAGGGGGATACTTTAACACCGCTCTCTCGCCTGACACCTCCTCCTCAACCATCGTCTCCCAGTCTCGGTCTCTTTGCTGTCTCTGTCTTTCTCGGTATCTCCGCTGCTCTTTGTATCTCTCAGCATATGTTTCCCTCCTTTCTCTGTCTTTCTTGAACCCCAACACTGTCTCCGGCGTCTGTCTCTGTGTGTCTCTCTCAGGATGTCTAACTCTCTCCGTCTCTGCATAGCTGTCTCATCCTCACTCCTGCCATACCCTCTGAAACCTTGCCCCTTTCATCTCCCCTTTGTCCTCTCCCGCACACAACTTGCCCGTATCGGGTGGGATCCCGGAACCAGGCTCTTCCTGGCGGTGCCGGCGGGAGGCCGACGCCTCCTCGGCGGGCTCACACTCAGCCCGCAAGTCCCAGCTCCGCGGAGGGCATTTCTCCCCACAACCCCGCCAGCCCCCACCCCGCCCCAACCTTGCCTGTTACTACTCTTAAGACCGCTCTTCACGAGAGCCTGGCCTAGAATGATGTACACTTTGCAGGATGACAATTTGATATTAATCCGTAAGAGTTGTGTTGAAAAATATCTCAGGAGCGCAAGTTGGTGGCATCCAAATACAATCGTGATTTTTAAGGGATCTTATGGAGTCCTTCCATCCAACGCGGCTATGATATCTTAGGCTCTATGGTTTCTGGTGCGCTGGCATGGGGGGCGGGGGGCGGGGCGGGGGGCAGGCACAATGTATGCTCTACACAAGAGGACCTGGAGACTACTGGTTGAGTTCCACTGGGGAACCCTAGTAACCTCCCACCCCCAACATAGCAGTAACTACCAGCAGAATCAGCCTTTTCTGGAGCAAACAGAGAAGCCCCACTGAGACCTTCCCCTGGAAGCACACCTCCAGTTTAGATTCCTTCTGAAGGAGGTACCTGCCAGGCACTTTGAGGCCCACAGTCTCCCTTCCAGCTAAAAATAGCTCTTTAAAGAGCAAGCTCTTCTAATCTCAAAGTTGTACTTTACGGCCATGACCTCTTGGAATTCACTGGGGCATATGCAGAGTAAGGCCGTGAAGCTCATTGTCTAATTGGGACTCTGAAAAATGACGCAAAGTAGGAAAAAAATACACATTTATATATAGCATATTTGCAATGCTATCTTGGATCTCTTCACTTACCAGGTATTTTGTGCTCTTAAAAAGAAGGAAGAAGTAATATAAATGTTTCAGGGCACTCCTATCTGAGGCTGAAGGGTCAAAGTAAGGCAGGGTGAGCTTTGTCTGTTTTCACCCTCTAGGATTTAGGAGGCCACCCTAAAATTGATCTCCATTTGTATGAGCTCCCAGGCCCAAGTGTGGGGCCCAAGTGTGGGGCCCGAGGCAATGTTGCCTGCCTCCCCGAATGCCCAAGTGCACTGCTGTCAGATCTGAACTTGCATCAGACCTTTGGCAAAAACGAGAAAGAATGAGGCCAGCTTTGGGATATACCAAGTTCTTTTCTAAATCTGACTTCAAAAACACTCTACCTCCAGTGCCATTTAGCCTTAAAAAATTACTGCTTGTGAAATAGAAAGACAATCAAGGACCTTAAAATCTCTGTCTGAATGGGACTGATTATTTAAGAAAAGCACCACAGGCACCTGGTAATGGGAACTGGTCCGACACTTTGTTCTATGACACAGGGTGCCAAAGAGCTTTTTATGGTAATGACTGAGACCTTCTTCCCAGACATTCAACTCTTACTGGATCCTATGAGACACTTGGCTTAGGATGTAAAACAGCAGCAGAATGTCTTTTTTTTTTTTTTTTTTTTTTTTTGTATTTTTGCAGGAGTCTCCATTTCCTGTAGTGGTCAATCAGAAAAGGACACTAAGCCAAGTAACATTAAAAACCTAATCATTTTATAAATCTCTCTAGTTCTAACGACATAACATTGGGGGGTAGGGAGACAAGGATGGCTCACTCACCCTCCTTTTGTATCATTTGCTTTAGAAAGAATTGAAACCAATAAGGACATGAGTCTCACACACGCATCTGTTTAAAGTTTCTTCCTTCTCTAAAATGCACTCTCAGAACGCATCGCGATCAGCCTTCCTTTTGGGATAGAACAAAAGTGTGATAATCCTTAAGGAGAATAGTGTTCGTGTCAATTTTTTAGACTTCGCTCATGTTGAGGACACTTTCAGAAATCACTCTCTTTCTAAACGCTGTGTATGGTCCAACTTAATACACATATAAACTTAGCATGAATGATCACAGCAAAACACAGTCCTCTGCTCTCTGCTTTTCCCCAAGTCTACCTGGTCTGTTCTGACATAAACAATATAAAGCAATAACATATATTTCTCTCCAGGAAATAGATATATTTTAAAAGAATTTAAAGGAATTGACCTAAAAATAATGATATTAAATAATTTTCCTGAAAACCAGAAGAAATTAAAATTAGAATTCAACTGAAATATACTGATAATTCTGTTAACAGTACTTAGCTCTTTTGGTTGATTTGGTTTGGTTCATTTGTATGATTCTCTTTTTCCAAAGAGGAGAGGGAGGGCAGAAGTTAAAAGTATGGATTATCTTGGGGCTGAAAGGAAGAGAAAGAGAAAGAGCTTAATTTCGAGCTCTATAAAACTCTATCTCAAAATGATCCTGTCTTAAAATGCATGTGTATCATCATTTTTTACCCAAAATCTAACTAAAAACAGAACGCTGTTGTTATAAAGCACCCAGCTGTGGTCTTGCTTAAGCTTCAAGCCAAACTATATCACTTTGCACATGTAGTACTACGTTGTACCTATTGTTCTCCTAGTAGTGACCAAAAAAAATCCTTACAAAGCATGTATTACCCTTCTGCCCTGACCTCAGTGTACCCTTGCATGTTTGTGACCTTGGGCAAGTGCTGGAAGGTCCCTCTGGCCTCAGATCTGTCATATGAACTTTCATATAATGAGGAAACAGAGTTAGATGATGGCTGAAGCACTTTCCAGTTCTAAAGTCCCTTTATTCTATTTTTGTATGATTAAATGTGAAGTCATCTCTGGCTTTAAAAACTTCACAAATAACAACTGTACACTGCATTATCATTTTCAAAGATATTAAAAATAAAAGAAAATATTTTCTTCAGTGCATTTCAAAGATTTTTAAAAGAACTGTGCTTGTGGATTTGCACCAAGGCCATTTTTGCTCATTTCTTCTCTTTTCCACCCTCATAACCTTTCTTCCAGGTCAAGGGTTGACTTGAGTGTATTAATTATGTCATTTTTCATATAAGGTGTTCAGCAAATGTTTGTAATGTCATTGGTTTATGAAAATCTACACTCAGAATGGCATCATTATTATATTTATGAATATTTGTTTAAGAAGAACCAAAGCCATTTTCTCTACTTTTGCAGAATTCTTAAATGTCACTCAGGACAACTAAGAAACCCCCTGGCCCCTCCACACCCCAAGCTATTTTGCTAGTGGAAAGAAGGACGTATCATCTGCAGAGTGATTTGGTATTTGAATGCAGAACTTGGTTAATAACTATAAGGCATGTGTGCTAAATTACCTTTACAAGAATGCTTTAATAACGAGATCACTGGACTAGAGAGAAAAAATAGCCATCAAGCTCAGGGATAAAATAAAAAAAGTAAAGGGGAATCAAAAAGCTTTATGTTGTAGGCATTTTCTCTTTTAGAAGTAATTTATATGCTCAGTCTTTGTACCCATATTTCATTTATTCTGCTAGGTGAGGACAGAGGGTCCTCAAAGGTAGGGCAGTTTCAATTATACCCACAAACTTTAAAAAGAGAATGAACACAATAAGAAAAATGGAAGAAAGTCAGCATTAAAAAGGCAGTTGAATGTAAAAGATGGGAAGATTGGAGTCATTGCCCAGAAATAGTAATTAAAAATTTTTGAAATATTGTGA